GTTAAAATGCTTTTCTAATACCATTTATAACACTTTTGCTTTGAATACAACTCTACATCATACTGACATACATATAGGAAGATATATGCGTGTAGCATGTATATATAAATATATATATATAAATATATATATATATATATATATATATATATATATATATATATATAAATGTATATATTTATATCTAAATGTATATATATATATATATATATATATATATAAATGTATATATATGTATGTATATATTTATATAAATAATATATATATATATATATATATATATATATATATATATATGTGTATACATATAAATATATATTATGTATGTATATATATATATATGTGTGTGTGTGTGTGTATATTTATCTATATATGTATCTATATATTTATATATATGTGTGTCTGTATATATATGTTTTATATATATATATATATATATATATATATATATATATGTGCATGTGTGTATATTTATGTGTATATATAAGTGCATATATATATGGGTTTATATACATGTTTTATATATGCATGTGATTATGCATGTATTTGTACAAATGTATTTAAAAGCTGTTATTAGTCTATTTGCATACACACCCAAAACATATATATGTGTGTGTGTGTGTGTGTGTGCGTGTTTATGTATCAATTAGATATTCACATGCAAACAAATGTATGTAACTAATACATGTTAATTAAATATTAAACAACAACACAATCTTCCTATCTACTATATGACCCTGTTTCAGATCAATATAAACTGCGTAGACTATTATATATGCAAATCAATTTACATTACAGTATAAATATAAATGTTCTATAAACTATACGTTTGTGCATGAATGTGTTGAATGGGACCCTGTACTTCTTAACTGATTTATATGAATTCATGCCTTTCTTATCTCCCTCTTATCCCTTACATTTCTCTCTCTATATATATATATATATATATATATATATATATATATATATATATATATATATATTGTTTTATTGTTCGAAACATATATATATATATATATATATCCACACACACACACACATATGTATATATATAGATATATATATATATACACACACACACATATGTATATATATATGTATTTATGACAGTGTCTTAGTTTCTGTGTGTATCTTTCTCTTTGTTAATATATATCATTTATTTATTATTGTTATTGCTTGAAAGAAAAATAGAAGTCAGTGTCCAAATTGGCAGAAGGAAGTGAATATGGCTTCAGGGAGGAATTCTGGGATTGAAACATGGGGCTAATTTGATGCTAATAAGCATGAGGTAGTCATAAATAACCAAAGTTTTATGCGAAGCTAATTTATTTACTTTCATTTATTTTCATTTCTCTTTTCCAAAACGAAATATCCATTTTTTGTGATGTTTATTATTTTTTTCTTTTTTTGACACCTATCATTGCTCTCTCTTCCCTGTGAAAGTTTGGAAACGAGACCAAAGAAAACCTATTTCTTTACCAGAAAAATTTCCTATACCTCACTTATTTGTATAAAGTCTCTGTATAATATGTAACTAAATATATTTCTGTGGGTAAAAAGTTTTATCCCACCTGTACTTAATGTGACTAGGTGTGACAAAAGGAGATAATTTTAACCTTTACACATTTATTGTTTTCTTCTTCATTACAAGAAATATGTGCATGGCACTTTGCACTCAAGGGTTATTGTGGTGTATGTCTGTGCAAGAGAAAGAAAAAAGAAAGACGAAGACCTCATAAATTTTTCTTTTGAAAAAGTATCATTAAATCTGAAAAAATGTCAACCTGGAAAGAAAATACTTCATAAAATGTTGATTGATTTATTTTTTACAGTTTATCAAAATTTTGCAAGTTATTTAAACTATTTATATTCTGATTATTGTCCTTATCTTTGTTGTTGCTATTACAACCTTGTGACTGATTTGCCTTTCAGTCTTCATCAGATGTATATCAATATGTGTAACCTCCAGGAAATTCTGAACTGAATAATTTATTCAATCAATGGGGATAGACTGTTCTTCTTCCACTGCTCATGTTTGGGGATATTTGTCCAGTTCTAATTTTTAGTACTGCCCAGTTATTGATTCTCCTATTTCCACTGAATCTAAATACACACTGCGCAACACAGGAATTGAACTCACAACCACTATGTTACCAAATTAGCTTGTGAAATTTGGTAACATCGTGGTTATGAATGCCATTCCTGTATCAGGCAGTGTGTACTTGGATTCAATGGAAACATTCAACCAATAACTGAACAGTACTAAAAATAGAAACTAGATGATAATCCTAAACATGGGCAATGGAACGAAAACAGTCTACCTGTGTAGATTAAGTAAATGGTTCAGTTTAGAATTTCAGAATTAAGGATTATTAGTTTCAGTAAGAAGGTCAGAGAGCAAAACATCTGAACTCAGATTGTGGCTCTAGAGATCACAAAGGCATTCAACAGGGTTTGGCATGCTGGCCTTCTTTGTGAGCTCAAGAGCTACGCTGTCATAAGACGAATATTTAGCTTAATCAAATTGCTCCTAACAAATCATGTAATACAAGTCATGTTGAATGGGCACACTTCCAGTCCATTTCATACAAACAGAGAGGTACCCCAAGGCTCTGTCCTTGGACCTAGGCTGTCTCTGATCTTTGTCAATAATCTCCCTGGACAGTTCCCAACTTGGTATTTATGCAGATGACACAACAATCTACTCGAAACTCAGTAGCAAATCCAACATACCCAAAAAGTAAACCTGTCAAAAGCTCTTGGAAAGGTCCTCCACTCATTAGTTAACTAGGGTAAGGAGTGGCTTGTAAATTTTAACTCCTCCAAAACAAAACTGCTTTCATTTCATTATAACAGTGAACCTTTTCTGACTGCCATTGGGGAATAGTTGATGCTAAACTCCAGGAGTATAATGACTAGAAACAAAGAGTAACATGTCTCAACCCTTAATGAATAACTAGAAAACAATAAAACCATGGAAATTTTAAAGTCAAATAAAACAGGACTCCTATTTCTTGAACAGACCAAACATATGCACAATTATGAAGGAGTGCTAACCCACTTCCCTAAATCAGTTTAATGTTGTTCGAAAATCAGAATACTCATTTTAAGAAGTGAGTCAGGAGAAGAGCTATATTGTATTTCCTCCTAATAAAACCAACATATTTGTATATCCCAATATTTCTATTCTATACTATAGGCCTTCATTTAGAGTTGTTTAAAATACTAGTAAAATAAATTTTGAATTGTTTCCATTTACAAAAATATTTTGATTTCTGGTTAAGGATCAGTTGGTTGTCATAACATTAAGGTAGTTCAGTTGTATTATTTCACCTTTCAAACCTTTTTACATACTTTCTCTTAGTAACTTTTTTTTTAATCATTTCAACCCAAGCAAGACAGGAAAGCCATTATGACTTAAAACAATAAAAGAATAAGAATTAAGAAATTGCATTTAAATTTTTGAAGATCAAACTTGACTGGAAAACAGGAACCCAAAAGAGATTCCCACAAGCAAACATTGTGATAGAAGAAATTGTTAGCATAGAACCTACAGTTACATATTGTAATAATAAAGAACCTCCCCATTTCAGTACTAACCACTCTGTATAAAAGTCTGTTTAACTACTAACGATCAGTTTAGCAGGATAAAACATCTAAAGTTGATATTCAGTGTTGTCTATTCATTACATATATTGCCATTTCAACTATAAAATGAGGAGAACTTTCCACTAATCTAGTACTGTGCTTAAATTCATGAAGTCAAGGTACCAGAGAGGAATGCTCATCAGAACAATTACCACAAAAATATTTATAAAAAAGGCACAGGGGAGCTACATTATGGTGGCGAGAAAGTGACTGAAGATGAGATGCCTGTTCTGAGATGAGATGTCCAATAAAATTGCAGATTCATCTTTGGATTTTATCAAGAATCTCTAAATATATAGCAGAAGCACCACACCAGGTGTGGCAGCAATATTCAATGCATGGATGAATGGTAGACTTATAGATATGCAAGATAGATTCTGGAGAGAAAAATTGTCTAGCATGACACAGTGAACCAAATTTCCTACTAGCAGACTTGGCAACTGATTCAATAATACATGTGATGACATTACAATTGAAATTATACATGTTTTACTAAATATAGTCTTACTTATGACAAAGTGATTAAACAGATTTAAATGCAAATGAAAGCTTTTAAAAATAAAATAAAACAAAAACATATTTTGCAAAGAGAAACTCAAACAGAGAGTAATGTTTTGTCACCAAATATTCACATACAATTCCTCAACAAATATAATAAGGTAATTGTTTATACAACCTTTGATATCCATGGTAGTATTTTAAGAATTTATTCTAATGTCTCCTCCACATCATATATATATTTAGATTATAAAGAAGTAATCATACAAAGAATTAATCAGTAAAGTTAATGTAATTAATGGTGAAATCACTTCACTAACAGATTTAATCATCACATTTTCATAATCATCAATTAATATTTTTTCATTTCAGGTAACTTCTATGATGAAAATAAATGTATTGCAGACTGAAAGATGTTTTTTTAAGAAAGTATTAGCAGCTATGGAACATCTAATCCATCTTACAATTTAACCATAAGGATTACATCATTCAACGAGTGATTAGTAAGTTAATGCTTTATTAAATCTGTTAGCAAAGTGATTTCACCATTAATTACATTAACTTTATTGATTAATTCTTTGTATGATTACTTCTTTATAATATTATTTATACTGCACCATTTAATATATTTAATATATATATATATATATATATATATATGTATATATATTTTGTTATAGATATATCATATATTAAACAGTAATTACACAGAAGGGTATTACATGACTAGTGAGTGTGTGTGTGGGTTGACCCAGCATTCATTCTATTCGACTGTTCCCGCAAGGCCTTTTCTCTTACTAATCTTATAGTAGGCGGAAGAGTCCAACATAGACTCTTTAGAGGGAGGACAACACAACATAGATAGATAGATAGATAGATAGATAGATAGATAGATAGATAGATATAATGTAAATAGTGTTACAGCAAATCCTGATGGTAGTTTTCTTGTTAGAATTGATCTTGCAGATTTATAAATTGATCATTTATCTGGGGAAATGAATATTGCTGCCATATCTGGTCTGGTGTTTCTACCATATATCTTGAGATTCTTGACAAAACTGAAAAAAGGATCTGTAATGTAATCGATCCTAAACTGACATCTTGACTTCAGTCATGACACGGCTTCCCTCTGTCTTTTCTAAACATATTTTCATAGCAAATGTTTTGATAAGCTACTTATGCCTCACTGTAACTGTGGTACTCTCTTCCAACCATTCATCCAGCTCGACCATAGTCAGGATCATTGAACCAATGTGAATGATCCTTTTTTTAGCTGTAAAGTATGCACTATGCTAGGTCTACATACTTTTGAATTCATGGTTACTTTATCCTAGACCGGTTGCTACCCAAGGTTATAGAACCCAGTCTGTCCTGCTATTTACTCATAGTTGGTGTGGGGGAGAAGAATAGGATTAATACTTTTCCCAAGGGTATTAACATGTAAGTGAATGTAATGGATTCAACTAGAATTTGAACTCGGCTCCCTGATTCCTCAATCTGAGCCATTATCCATTACTCAACTGTGCTTGTCCCTTCCAATCTCTTGCTTCCCTGTCACTTACAATCTTCAAAAATTTAAATGCAATGTCAATAGCCATCTTTTGCTTTCCTGATCATATGCTTTTATTGTCATTTCTTCTCATTTCTCTACACTAAAGTCTTCATTTTCTCTTTCCAGTGAGCCTTTATAACCTTGTGGCATTATTGCCTTGCTTGGGGTGAAATGATAAAAAAAGAAAGAAGAAAAGTAACTATTGAAATAGTAATCACACTTTTTAATTTAGCACCAACTGCATTTGTAATATTTTGTTAGAAACAAAGAAAAGATTGCTTAACTGTTATGTCAAATCTATCCTCCTATATAAATGTTGGACTGTTTTCTTACAAATAAAGAAGAGACTCAGTTCAGGAGAGGTGTGGTTGAACAGATGTTCGCTGAGAATATCCTGGATAGTACATGTGAGCAATGAGGAAATTATGAAGAAAATGGGAACTAAAATGACACTCATACTTAAATTCAAAAAGAGACATCTGAAATTTCTGAGATGCATTATGAGGAAAGATGGCTTAGAGAACTTAATTCTCAAAGGAGTGAAGAAAAAGAAGGAAACAGTGAACACCTTTCTTTACCTAATGTATTTGTGTGAATTAATAATAGAATGAAGACAAGGAGGGATAGAAAAGATTAAAATATATAATAGAGTTACATGAGACAGGAAATTACAGAGAAATATGACTTCTCCTGAAGGAACATGTAACAAAAATGATGGTATGTAGGAAACGTCTTCCATTTGCTTATCACTCATTATACCATTACTCCATTAGTTATTTCCTTCATTAACAAAGTAAATATTCCTGGTTGTAGGGGAAAATGATTTGCAATTTTTATCCTAAAATGTGTGTTAGCAAATATTGACATTTAATTTATATGCCCTTCATTGAAAATAAGGTAACACTAGATTGTCGATGTATACATTACTAGCAGAATTATATTAGTCTATACATAATAGAAATACATTTGTATTGCTTGATTCACACCAGGAAATACAAGATTAATTTAAATCTTCTGTCTTCTTAATTCCTGTTCTTTTATTGTTCTCTCTCTTCAATAAAGTTTTTTTCTCTCATATTCATTCACAATCAGTAACCCCTTGCATTTTAGTGGCTTTATTGCTTTGCTTGAGGTGAAATGATAAAAATAATTGAATTTAATGTTGATGAGGAACATTTTTTTCAGGTAGAAGTTGATCTGCGATGATCCCAATATGTACCAGACTCACCTCAGACAACATGAGAGAGGACTTTGCATTCATTATCACAGCAGACCATTAAAGTAGGCAGGTGCATCAATGGATGACCTGAAAGATGGCCTTAAAGAAGACCTTGTAGCCAATGAATGTAGATCCATGCTTAAGCCAATGACAATCCAGCTGAACCTAGGAAATGCCCTCATGTAAAAAGCATAACAGCTTAATATATACACACCCACCTTCACAAGAAGAATGTATGATTCGAGAGGATCCCAAAGCTACACACTCATTCCCTAACGTTATTTACAAAGTACAAATCTAAATAAACAATAATTTTACCTATATTAGTTTTAGTCTTGTGTTTTATTTGTCTGTATGGTTATAACATTACATATCTTTAAAAACCTTGCAATAGAAAAGCCTTGAATATCAGAAAGAAAGGGATTGTCAGTAGTCAGGATTAAAGGTATATCTTATTCCTAGAATAAGCTATTATTCATATATAATTAACACAAATAATATGTATAATTCAACAAGCTAACATTACTATAGTTAATAGTGATTTTCTAAATGTAGCTTAGATATAGCACAATGCCAAAAGTATTGAACATCCACTAAGGTCAAAATCACTATTCAGTCATATTTAATCTAGCAAGACAAGCTTGCTAACTATTACACAATGTCAAAGTGGCCAAGAAATGATTTTCTAAGTATAGCTTAGATGTGGTAGAAAGCTGAAAGTGTGAAGCACCCATTGAGGATCAAACTCACTACTTAGTCATAATTGATGTAGCAAGACAAGCTTGTTAACCATTACACCACAGTGAATTTTTTTGCATTATTATAGTTAAGAGTTCAGCACATTATGAAAAATTTGCAGTCATGCTTAAGGGTAGAGCAATAAGACTGAAGTATATGACAGATGAGGTTTTATCCTATATCAAATTTGTTGCTCCAAATGTGGCCTTTGGATGATGATGATGATAGTAGTCACTCTTTGACTTATGATGGTAACCAGAATACAAGACATGAAATCTCTAAAAATATAGATAACAAGTTCAGTCTACCATAAATCTTAAACCATGAAATATGATATCTAGTAGCTGAAAATATTCATAAATCATTTTCTGAGTTTAAAGTTTGCATCTGAATCAACTATTTAATTACAAATAGATAAACTTTCAAATTGGGTTATTAAGTCAACTGAGCTTCCCTGTTGACTGCATCAACAAAAATTGATCCATGTTGTAAAATAGTACCTTACAAATCAAGAGCATTTCACATCCATCAAATCTCAAGTTAACATTTCAGATTGATCTCACTTTAGTGACGTAGACTGAATGACCAATGAAATACTACCTATGTCCCATAATAATTGTTACACTTAGTATATGAAATGTGTATGCAAATGTAACATGTAAATGTTATAGAACAGTAGTAGTGATATATATTTTCTTGGAAATCCAAAGGTTTTGGCTATTTTCATGAGAAATTTGAGCCATAGACACACAAGCAAAATGAGAATAAGCCAAAGAAAGGAAAACAATTTCTTACGTGTTTCTTTTACTAAAAAGTCTCAAGTTCATCTTCAGATAGTTTCTTTTACAGTTGGATCATCTCACAAGATTATTGGTGGAACCAAAAGCTACTGGGTAAGAATTACTCTAAATTAGGCAATTTTGTCTTGGAAACTGACAGTTGGAAGTTTATTGCACTAAGTAATACAGTATTTCACAACCTATTATTATTAAAGTTAAATCTTTAATCAGCATCTCTTGATTTATATAAGTATATAAACATTTACAAAACAAATACACACACACACATTATATATATATATATATATATATATATATATATATATATATATATATATATATGATAATGGACTCTCTCATCGGTTTCGACGTATGGGGGATCTGACAGCTTATTGATTCAGTTATGAAAGTTTGTGCAATAATCTTAAGTGGCATTTAAGACCCGCTAGTGATTTACAAAGGAGGCCACATATGGAGCAAGTGTGAGTATTGTGAAATGAGATCAATGTTAGACTGGCTGACCTTTTAGATCGTGCTCTCGCTTCTTGAAGATGATTCAGACAAACAGACTGAAAATTGCTGAGTCCACTAAAACACATTGAATATATATATATATATATATATATATATATATATATATATATATATATATATATATATATTTTATATATAATATATATATATATATATATATATATATATGCAGTTGTTACAAAATAATACTGTATCTAAAAATAGCAGGTTTACAGCCATATCATGTTGAAGCATCAGATCTCATATGAAGTTAAGCAATTCAAGCCTGGTCAGTACCTAAATGAGTGACTTCTTGGGAATACAATGTGCTGCAATCCTGGATGTGTGGGTCGGGTAATGGATAATGGTTTGGAATTGCAAATCAGAAAGCCCAGTTTCTATTTCAGTCAAGTTTGTTGTATTCACTTATGCACATATATCCTTGGGAAGATTATGAATCCACCTCTTCACCTCCACAACTATGGGTTAATTAGTAGGACTTTTATCGGTAAAATATTATTATCTCCAAAAAATTCTTACAATTTAAAAATATTTTCAGGCTTTAAATAACCTGTAAAAGGTTAATAAGCTATAAAAAACAAATCAATTAATCAATTTAAAAATATGCAAATTTAGAATCAACCGAGTCTTAAATTAACTCTAAATAATGAGACCTCCACATCTCTTGAAACTCAGGTTTTTCTTCAAGGTGAAATAGGACATAAGTTGAAGCATGTTTAAACCATGTGGCACTTCTACATCACACAAATGGGATACATTAGAGCCTAATGCATAAGGCAATATCTAAGAACACTGAACAATTTCCAAACAAGGTTCTATATACAAAACCATATAGAACCTTTATATTAAAATTTATATCCTATTTAAATATAAACGAGCACCTCAATTCTGACATCAGTTATATCTTGTCTGCACAAAAAGACAGAGCATAAAATTGAAGTAGACATAGCTAGTCATTGAAGATTCAAACATCAGGTAATATCTCCTTATTTTACTAAAAAGATGGTTGTGGCCCCACAAACAGGGGAATTTTTGCCTTTATTCACACTTATGCATATAAGACTGTACATTAAGAACAGAATTTTATGTTAATTTTATCCTTATGATGAGGTAAAAAAAGGTTTAGCAGCTATTCAATCAGGCTCTATACCATTTATTGTTCATGATAAAATTTAACCTGCTGGAGAACAAAGATTTTAATGATTTCTATTTCATGAAACTTAAACAATAAAGAATATTTTTATTGTGTAGCCAGGAGCTGTGAGTGTATATAAATGCTAGCAATAGTTGAGTAGAGGAAAGACTGAACACTTTAGATGGTTATCATTTAAAGAGAATTAGATCCTCATCAAAGCAGTTCAGGTCTTTCAAAAATATATTAACTGTACAGGAACATGTCAAGCAAATATG